GAGTTTTCCCTTTTTTATTTACATATGTTATATGTATCTCATGATTCTGTGCTGTTTCTGTTGGCCTCATGTATTGCTTGACCTTGAAAAGTAGTGATTTCCTATCATTTTTGTAGGTCTGAAAGCTTGTCCGTATTTCCTATCCTTCACCTTTAGCCTTTAACTGAAGAATTTTATCTGCTGCACTTGATATGGCTGCAGTGAGTTTTAACTTGGTACAAATGTCTGTTGATTAAGATTTTCTCTAAAGTGGCCTTGAATGTCCAATCATCTCCATGTGAGAGCAGCTGTAATACATTGATATCAACCATTTTTGTCTCTAGTTCAAAGCAGTTAATTCTGATAAGAGTGACTTTGGTTTGGATGGAGATAGTAATTAAAGTGTAAAACCTTATTATTGAATACTGTTTATATGCGTTTTAGAGAAGACATTAATATGAGTTATTCCCTTAAAAACAGCAATGTCGTTACATTCGGTTTCCTGTATAGTACACTGTATGTGACTCTTCATTGCCAGAGATACCTTACAGTAAATATTTTACAATAGGTCTGTGAAAAGGGACCCATTAGTCCTCTTTGGAATACAAGAAAACAAAGTTGTAAAACATACTACCAGGCACCCTAGGTAAATAATAACCTCAATCTCTAACTTGAAGAATGCGGCCTAAGAGAAAATATTTAGAAATAAAAATGGAGGAGAGGTCATTTTACCAGTATAACTTAATCCAAGTAATATTTGGAGGCACTAAAATGTCTTTCATTTTCTTGCAACGCCTTTCTTCTTACTAATTATAGCCCCGTAGTTCATGAAATTTGTGTTTGGGACATGATGAGCTTTGTATTTATTGTAGCTTTAAATGGACAATTGTTATTGACTGCCAACTTAGTCTTTAAAATCAATAATTACATTGCACCTAATTGTCAACCTTCATGATGTGTTTTAATTGGTAAAGAAAACTAACTGGAAAAATGAAGAGCATTAATCCTTTGTTATCTTTTAACTGACTTTATTTAAATATTCCTGAAATTTTTGGTTTCAGGCTTTTCCCTAATTTACCTTTATCCTTACACACAAACATACACACCCTGGCAGAGGGAGAGACAGAGAGAGACAGAGAAAGTCGAGTTGTTTGAACACATCTACCTCAATTTCTGCTCAAGTAGAAAGAAGTTCTGCCTCTATGTTTTGAAAATAAACCCCTTCAGTAGTCCTTTGTAGATGTTCTATATTGTAGTTGCTGTTGTTTGTTACTGTTTTTTACTTGAGACTAATAATCTGTTTGCAACTGACTGAGACAGAAAAATGTGATGTTCCTTTCCACTCACTCCAGATTTTGATAGAAGACTTGTTTTATTTATTTCCAAAATTATATCCGCAGGAAACAAGCTGTTTAAATTCAGATTATGCTGAAGCAAAATGGTCTTGGTATGAGAAGCAACGTGCTGTTTTACGAGCACAGAGTCCCTTTTCTCATAACTGATTGATAGTAAATATTTTCCTGAAGAATTATTGCCAACCATGAACAGTGCAACTGTTTCACTTTTTTTCCTTTCTACTTGCTGTACCAGCCATTGTCGGTAATTAAGATCTACAATTCACAATGCAGACGTTTGCACTTCCTCTGGGTCTGCGCTATTTATAAGGCATTTCAGCTGTTCAGAGTTTCTTTTGAGTTTTAAACTACATGTTAACAGGCTTCTTTAATACACTGTTCCACAAGTAGCATATCAGATGGTACGTTCTTTGCACAGGCTCCTCTATTGGGTCTAAATATTAGCTTTGTGAAGAATATATTTAGATTTAACCATGTAACTGAGGCTGATGTGGTTGGAAAAACTCTGGCGTGTAATGTGTTACACATTAAACTTATCACTAAGGCAGTAATAAAGTTCAGAAGTAATATGTTTTTCTTTCATCTTCAAATGTTCATATGAATTTAATGAGTGTTAAGGTTCCAGCGAGGTTGTGAGAAATACTAGTAGAGTGACTTCTCCAAGTTCACTTTGAAGTAATAATAGAATCAAGGACCGTTGTTATAGAAGAGAGTTTGTGTGTTTGTCAGATTAAGGATATAAGAATACATAACCTTCTAGATGTGCATGATATTTAGACATAGTGCACCAAAATGGATCAGCAGATTGACTGCACATTTGTTGTGTAATCAGCTTTAGGAACTCTAAAAGTAGCATATGCCATTGGAGGGAAAAGTGTAAACAGGAGTCCTGGTCTATATTAAAATTGATAAAATTTGAAGTCATTTTCAACCATTTCAAGAAAGTTAATTTAAAAAAAAAAAAAAAAGCCCAGACCCTAGTGAGAATCTTCATGAATTATGCCTGAGAGTCAGAGTAACAGCTTGCACAGTCTCCTTGCTACCTTGCACTCATTGTTAAACATACAAGAGAAAGAAACAAGAAACTGAAAGCTGTCAACAAAACATATTTAAAACTTCGCCCTGAGTGAGGATCAGACTGGCTCTTTTTAAGCCTGAAGTCAGCTGCATTGATTCTTCACGTTGGCCGCCAGCATCTTCTGGCAAAGCAGATCTGTGGAGAACGGCAAGACACGGGTTTCAGTGCTGATTTCCTTATGGCCCCTTGAATATACACAGAGTTTATAACAAAACCTTTCCAAGGCAATTTTATTTGCCAAAACCCAAAACTTTCTATAGTTCTTTTGAACTACAACCCTAGTGTTTCTGTAAACTTGTTTTCTCCTCTATGAACTCTTTATGAACCTTTTTTTTTTTTTTTTTTTTTTAAGATAGCAGCAGCAGTTCAACTGTTGGGAACCACTGATATATCTGACTGAGACACTTCAAGATGCTAGAACCTATTCGCATTTCTCTCTAGCCAGGAAGCTAATAAGATTGAGTTTGTCTTTGTGGATTGATCTAGATTAGCATGAGATGAGCCCAGTCAGGATCTTCCTCACTGAAAAAAGAAAGGTTGGGGAAGAGAGGGGTGAAGGAAGGAACTTCTTCATCAAGAACTGACTGCAGTATTGCCTGCTGATGCATGTCAGATCACCCGCACCAAGAGATCACATGGCTTCTCCAAAAGTCAAACGATCAATTCGCCTCGTTTTGGCTCTGTACTTAATGCACAAACAGTGCGATCTGCGGGGCTGTAATTGCATTGTTAGGGCC